TGTGTCGTGTCCCATGACGTTAGCATTAATGGCTCATATCAGTTTCTTGTCCGTTGTAAATCTTAATAAATTTTCTCTTTTTTGTTATCATTCCAAAATATTGTCCCGCCATTCATTCCTTCAAGATCCCTAAGTAGGTTTAGCATTGTTTTCTTCTGTTCCTCTTGCCTCCAATCTGTCCTGTGAGTATCAAAATTACCAATCCTTCTTTTCTCATTATATGCCCAACTATCTGTTCGGTCCATGGTATTCTTCTGTAGAACCATATTTCTGTTGATTCAAGTCTCTTATTCATCTTACGTGAATAAAAAAGATTATTATTATTAAATGAAAAGAGGGGGTGGTCAGAGGCTGTAATAATAATAGTCGTGGTATTGAAGATGTTGTTATTATAATTCCAGATCACAATGGAGATGAAATTATTCCTTGTCCTCTCGTTTACTGTCTTGGCAACGTCTGGTAAGTATACATAGCATATAAGTTTCCCTGTTATTTATTTGTATTTTTTAAATCATTTCACCCCAAGCAAGGCAATAAAGCCACTAAGACACAAGGAGTAACTGGACATGAAAGAATAAGAAAAAAGAGAAAAATTATTAAGTTAGGGAGAAGAATAGAAAGCAACCAGGAGGACAGTAGATAACGATTGACGTTGTATTTAAATTGTTGAAGATCAAAGTTGACTGGAAAGCATGGAGCTGGAAGGAATTCCACAAACGAGAAATGTGATTGAAGAAACTGTTAGCATAGAACTTACGGTTACATCTAGCCATTTCGATTATAAACATAATGAGACCTTGCTGCCAATCTAGTACTGCGCTTGGATTCCTAGTCTCGTTACCATAGACGATAGAAATATTTATTGCGTGTAAAATGTTGTAACCTAGGGAAGGTTACTTAAAAGAATAATCAAACAAAGGTTGGTAATGAACGATAATACTTAGGACAAGAACAACACATATAAGATTTGTCAGCGGCGCGTAGATGTAGTAGTCAACTGCTAGAAGTGAGTCAAGTGAATTCCACAATGAATCTCCAACTGCAGGATATCGACCAACCGCTCACGAGCAAGAGGTAAATGCGAAGGAACTGTTCCCATAGAACTTGCGGTTACATCTAGCCAATTCAACTGTAAATAGACGAGACCTTGCCACCAATCTAGTGCTGCGCTTGAAGTCATAATATCTAGGTAAAATAGCGAAGAACTTTTTCAAAGAAATACCATGAAAGTAGCCATAGAAAATGCAGGGGAAGCTACATTAGGTCGATGCAAAAATAACTGAAGCCGAGATGTCAAGTCAGGACCAATAATATTGCTGATTCTTCATAGGATGTCTTCTTGAAGAATCTCGAAATACGTAGCAGGAGCACCGAACCCTAGGCAGCAACCATTTTTACATAAGAACTATGAGAAAAATAGACTTATTTTTCTACACATTACGGCCATATTGTATTGATAATACCGGTTCCATTACGATCACCGAAGTTAAGCAACGTTTATTATGGTCTTGGGAATACCAGGTGCTGTGAGTTTGGGTGGTGCAATGGATAATGGTACGGAATTAATAATCGAAGAGCCAAGTTCTAATTCGAGTCTGGTTCGTGTTTTTTGTTTTTTTTTTTGTGACGTACGGTGACTGTTAATAACTGAGTCTTACTCAATGTTAAAATAAAACAGTATTTAATTACAACCGCAAATAAATACTTAACAAGAACAAAGAAATACAAGTCAACCAAAGATAACCATTTCAGTGAATACATTGCTAGTAGCGCGGTTTGGCTTAATATCCTGTTATCGCTACAGAATAATTCACACTAATTCGACTGAATAGTTCCACTCAATAGTTACTCAATAATCACTGGAGTCAGTAGCCTGTAATTATTTATTTATACACCTGGCGGAAAATATATATTCATAAGTCTAGAGTGTGACGTTCGAACCTCAATGTTGGTAGTTACTCATTTTCTTCCTATATAACACCAGACATTTGCAGATTTAGTATTTAACCTTTCCCCTTGAAAATACTAGCTAACAGTTTCCTCTGAACTTCCGTGTTCTCCGCTAAGGCACAAAATGGCTGCCAATCATCCAAACTCTTCAAGTATCTTACGGGGAATGATGGATATTTACATTTGTGACGTACGATGGCCGTTAATAATTAAGTGTAACTCCAATGTTAAAACAGTATTTAATTACAACCAAAATTAAATACATAACAAGAACAAAAAAGTAAAAGTCAACCAAAGATAACGATTTCAGTGAATAACTTTTTATTAGCATGGATCGGTTTAAAGTCGGGTAAATCTTAAATCAAAACCCAAATCATCAACGCACAATAATTCACACTAATTCAACTGGATAGTTCCACTCAATAGTCACTCAATAATGACTCCAGTCAGTAGCCTGACACCGCTATTTATACACCTGGCGGAAAACATATCTATAAGTCCAAAGTGTCACGCTCGAACCTCAGTGTCGGTAGTTACTCGTTTCCCTTAGAAAATACTAGCTATCAGTCTTCCCTAAACCTTCGTGTTCTATGCTAAGTCGCAAAATAGCTGCCAATCATTCAAACTCTTCAAGTCTTTTACGGGGAATGATGGGTATTTACATTTGTGACGTATGATGGCCGTTAATAATTAAGTATAACCCAAGTCTCCAATGTTAAAATAAAACAATATTTAATTACAACTGCAAGTAAATACTTAGCAAGAACAAAGAAGTAAAAGTCAACCAAAGATAATTAACCACTTCAGTGAATATCTTGTAAAAAGCGCGGCTCGGCTTAATGTCCGGTAAATTCTAAATCAAAACCCAAATCATCGGCACACAATAATTCACACTAATTCGACTGGATAGTTCCACTCAATAGTTACTCAATAATCACTGCAGAGCCTGACATCTCTACTTATACACCTGGCGGGAAACATATATCCATAAGTCAAGAGTGTCAGGCTGGAACCACGGTATCAGTAGTTATTCATTTTCTTCCTATATGACAGTCTTATTTACATACGCGCAAATACCATTGGATCGGGTATGAACCCACCTCTTCTCTCCCCAGGTACGAGCTAATTAGTAATACGTGTATCCCTAAAATATTATAATTTAAAAAGCAAATAAATAAATTAATAAAATAAATATTGCGTACAAATATTGAGATTTGGGCATTAAATAACTCATAGCTTTTGATAACAGCTAACCAATAGAACAAGACCACGTTGATGATACTGGCTCACAGCAATTTCCTGTCTTTTGTAGAACACAAAAATTATCTCTCTGTTATCTTTACAAAAACTTTTTCCGTCAACAATTTATTAAAGATCGCCGGGTAGCTTTGACGTTGATTTCCTCTGAAAAAATGCATTTATTAGGAAGAAGTAATGTCTGCGAGATTTCACAGTTCTAGCATCACTCCTTCATAGTCAGCCTATGAACATTTCAGAGTAACCTTCTACCTGGAAAGAATCATTGCAGTTACTAACAAGAAAAGTTGAAATGGATGCATGCAAGATTTCTCGGCACTAGAATCACTCCTTCGTAATCAGCCTATGAACTTTTCAGCCCACCCACATACCGGGAAAAAACAATGTAGTTATTAATAAGAAGAGTTGAAATGAATGCATGCAAGATTTCACAGTTCTAGCATCACTCATTCATAGTCAGCCTATGAACTTTTTATCCCACCCTCGTACCTGGAAAGAAACAATGCAGTTATTAATAAGAAGAGTTGAAATGAAAGCATGCAAGATTTCACAGTTCTAGCATCGTTCCTTCAAAGTCAGCATGTGAACATTTCAGCCCAGCCTCGAAAGTGGGAAGAAACAATGCAGTTATTAATAAAAAGAGTTGAAATTAACGCATGCAAAATTTCATAGTTCTAGCATCACTTCTTTGTAATCAGGCGAAGAACTTTTCAGCCCACACATCTACCTGGAAAGAAATATTGCAGTTATTAAGAAGAGAAGTCGAAATTAATGCATGCAAGATTTCACAGTTCTAGCATCACTCCTACATAACCTGCCTATGAACTTTTCATCCCATCCTCGTACCAGGAAAGAAACAATGTAGTTATTAATAAGATGGTTAAAATTAATGCATGTAAGATTTCACAGTTCTAGCATCACTCCTTCATAGTCAGCCTATGAACATTTCAGCCCAGACTCGTATAGGAAAAAAACAATACAGTTATTAATAAGAAGAGTTGAAATTAATGCATGTAATACTTCACAGCACTATCATTTCCGTCATAATCGGCCTATGAACTTTTCAGCCCAGCCTCGAACCTGGAAAGAAACAATGCAGTTATTATTAAGAAGAGATAATATTAATGCATCCAAAATTTCACAACTCCAGCATCACTCCTTCATCGTAAGCCTATGAACTTTTCAACCCACACATCTACCTGGAAATAAACATTGCAGTTATTAATAAGAAGAGTTGAAATGAGTGCAAGCCAGATTTCACAGCTCTAGCATCACTCCTGTATAGACAGGCTATGAACTTTTCAGCCCACCCTCGGACCTGGAAAGAAACAATGCAGTTAATAAGAATTGAAAATAATGCATGAAACATTTCACAGTTCATCAATCAATCTTTCAGAGTGAGGCTAAAATTTTCGGCTTACCTTCGTATATATTTATGTTAAAATTATTTCGAAAATAAAATGATTATCGCACCAGGAAAAAATAATTAACAAAATAGAGATTGACAAATTCTAAATCCATTATTTGTCCAATTTCAATATTGTAAATTCACGATTATTTCTACCTTTTGCAGGTTTACCATTGGTCAGTGAAAACTCACAGCTTGCTGAAAAAGCTGGACACCAGAAAACTGAACATTCTGCGCCATCTGCATTAGTATCGGATGCCGCTCTAAAGGCACCTTCTGAGCATGAATTCGGCAAATCGTTTTCCGTGTCCCTACTGTGCCATCTGTGTTGTACATGAATTCGGCAAAGCAATCTAATAGATCTGTCCCTACTGTGCCATCTGCATTAGTATCGGATGCCGCTCTTAAAGGCACCTTCTGAGCATGAATTCGGCAAATCGTTTTCCGTGAGTGTTGTACATAAGCAATCTAATAGATCTGTCCCTACTGTGCCATCTGCATTAGTATCGGATGCCGCTCTAAAGGCACCTTCTGAGCATGAATTCGGCAAATCGTTTTCCGTGAGTGTTGTACATAAGCAATCTAATAGATCTGTCCCTACTGTGCCATCTGCATTAGTATCGGATGCCGCTCTAAAGGCACCTTCTGAGCATGAATTCGGCAAATCGTTTTCCGTGAGCGCTGTACAGAAGCAATCTAAGAGATCTGTGCCTACTGTGCCATCTGCATTAGTATCGGATGCCGCTCTAAAGGCACCTTCTGAGCATGAATTCGGCAAATCGTTTTCCGTGAGCGCTGTACAGAAGCAATCTAAGAGATCTGTCCCTACTGTGCCATCTGCATTAGTATCGGATGCCGCTCTAAAGGCACCTTCTGAGCATGAATTCGGCAAATCGTTTTTTGTACATAAGCAATCTAAGAGATCTGTCCCTACTGTGCCATCTGCATTAGTATCGGATGCCGCAACCTTCTGAGCATGAATTCGGCAAATCATTTTCCGTGAGCGCTGTACAGAAGCAATCTAAAGAGATCTGCCACAGTGCCATCTGCATTAGTATCGGATGCCGCTCTAAAGGCACCTTCTGAGCATGAATTCGGCAAATCGTTTTCCGTGAGCGCTGTACAGAAGCAATCTTTTGCCATCTGCATTAGTATCGGATGTGCACCTTCTGAGCATGAATTCGGCAAATCGTTTTCCGTGAGCGCTGTACATAAGTACCATCTGCTTCTTATCGGATGCCATCGGATAAAACATTTCCGTGAGCATGAATTAAACACCTTAAGAGATTCGCAAATCGTTTTCCGATCTAATCTAGAGATCTGCCTACTGTGCCATCTGCATTAGTATCGGATGCCGCTCTAAAGGCACCTTCTGAGCATGAATTCGGCAAATCGTTTTCCGTGAGCGCTGTACATAAGCAATCTAAGAGATCTGTCCCTACTGTGCCATCCGATGTAAAGGTACCTTCTGACCAAGTAGTCAAACTATAGGTCGCCGCTGTAGTTCCACTTCTGTATAAATCTTTACTTTCCGCAAGAACATTAATGAACTGCAGATCTCTGTGTAAATGGCTTCAGTCTAGGCAGTAGCGATATAACTTCTTTCCACTGCACTATTTGAATCGGGATCTCTATTTATCAGTGTATCTTGCAGTATCATCTGACTATAAAAGGACCGTAATTTACATATGTTTAAACAACCCTTCTTTACTCCATGTTATATATATATATATATATCATCGTGTGTAACTGCAAAATTGTCCATACTGTGTAACACCGAAATTGTACAATTATTAGATTAATCTTTGAACCGTTGAATCTTAGAACTGATTAAATGTATCTTACTGAAATTCTCCGAGCTTTTACAACGCTATTAGACTCTACTTTGAAGAATAAAAATGGATTTAAATCTAAGTTGTAGTGATGATCCATCTTGCTGTTGAACTGCATGTTTTTTCCTCTCACCATTGGTCACCTGGGAAGACAATGGGTCTGATACAAAACGTTTGTAATTTCTTCTGTTTCTACCCAAATAACTCAAATGATTTTTCATTGATTCTTACGATAAATGGTATCAAGATGGCTAAGCTAAACCTGGAAAAAGTAACTCAATTACTTAATCTTTTTAGATATTAAAAATGTTGTGAGATGGACAGTTATCCCATACTGTTACACGATTTGGACAATTTTGCTATTACACGATATATATATATATATATATATATATATATGAAGAAAAATTCTGAAAAAACAAACAAAAATCCTTAAATGTAGTTAAAATGAATGAAATGTCGACGTCTGACGTTTCGGTTTAATAAACCTTTTTCAAGACAATATTCATTAAAATACAATTCAGTTCAATATGACAAATACGATGGACATAAAACACAAGTCTTATTCAAAACAGATAACTGAAAATTTTTAAAATGATCAGCCTTCCGTCTAACATGGTCACGCCGTCGTCACATGGGCGACGCTTTCATAACGTATTCCTAAAAGTTTGTGATTATTTTGAAATGAAAAAGAAAATGAAAAGAATTCTATTAGGTTCTAAAAAATTTTTATGTGTATGCTTGTCGAGCATCAATCTCGCTAAAAAGGGGAAATATTAAAGAAACCAGGTCTAGTATTCACCGTGCGTGAGATGGATATTATACCTGCTTCATAAATCCTCCTGAGATTTTTATTATGAAAATATTTTAATACTTTTCACGGAATCGAAATCGGGTATGATCTGCTTTAGTTTGTGTACAACTAAAGCATTATTAAAATACCGAGACGAATATCTCGTTTATGTTCGAAAACACGAGATTTTACGGACCTACGTGTTTCACCCACATATTTTAGGTCACAGTTTTTGCATGATATTTGATAGATGCAAGCATCGGATGTAATATGTTGTCTGCTGGTGCTATATATATATATATATGAATTATTCTTTATTCCATTCTTTCGACTGAAGGAAAGAAATTGCATTCAATAAAATATTTCTAACTTTGTTATTATTTTTATTTTGTCCTTTTCGTATCTCGAGTTAAAATTATGCTTTGCACGAGTGGCTTTTCTCCACGGCTAATATCTGTCGTCTTTAGGATTGTACATTTAAGAAAATAAATAAATAAAAAGAAATAACTTAAAATCGTCTTATGAGTTTTTCTTTTCTTTTTTCTTTTGCGCACATTTTGATCGATTTCGGTCAGTCTATCTATCTATCTATCTATCTATCTATCTATCTATCTATCTATCTATCTCAGTCTTCTCATATCTATCTATCTATCTATCTATCTATCTATCTATCTATCTCAGTTTGCTCATCTCTCTCTCTCTATCTATTTTAGTCTGTTTATATATATATATATATATATTTATCCATCTCAGCCTGTTCTTATCTATCTATCTCAGTCTACTCATATCTATCTATCTATCTATCTATCTATCTATCTATCTATCTTAGTCTGTTCATATCTATCTATCTATCTATCTATCTATCTATCTATTTTAGTCTCTCTCTCTCTCTCTCTATATATATATATATATATATGTTAAGAAATGGACAAGGTCCGACAATTTATTTATTAAAGACATTTTTATGTTTAACGTTGTTATTTTATAGATACAAGTATTTAAGCAAATACTCTGTTTATGATAAACAGTAGAAAATAACATCAAAGAACGAATATTTTCGATGAAATTTTTTTGACATTCAAAATGTTATTTAATACTGTTTATCATAAACAGAGCATTTGCTTAAATAATTTTTAAATTTTATAAAATAACAACGTTAAACATAAAATGTCTTTAATAAATATATATATATATATATATATATATATGAATATGTGTAAGTGTGTATATTATATAGTATGCACCTATATACATATATTCAAACAATACAGGTAATATTCCATAGACTCGAACACCTATATTTAATATCCTAACATTTAAAAAAAAAAATTTTACCATTTGAATAACTAATTATGTGAATAGCAAGCCACAGACAAACGTGTGTATAACTTTGTGTTCCCGTGTTTGTCCGTATATATGTATATGCATGTATATGTATGTGTGTGCGTGTATATGTATATGCATGTATATGTATGTGTGTGCGTGTGTGCCTGAACGTATGAATGTAAGCATATGCATACAAATTCAAAAAACAATAAACAAAAATTTAATTATAAACTTAAGCTAATATAATTAACCCTTTGCCTTTTCAGTCCATCATATGTGACATAGGACATGCGATTTCCACGCCCGTGCATCCTATGTGGTACACACGAGGCATTTCTTACTGCTGCTTCTGCTGTTGAAGTTTTGCTGTCGTTCTCTTTCTCTATTTATTAGCGGTTCACATATGGTATTTATTTCTGTGCTAGGCCCTACTAAAGAGGGTATCATAAACTAACTATTCGCTGATCCTTTTTCAGACATCCGACTCTTCAATGATTTTAATTTCTCATGGGTTTGTGACGACCCTTTTCCCTCTACACATCGGCATTTCCTGATTTCATTGTCTCTCCCCTAATTACGATGTTCGTCCAGCCTTAGTTAAAATTGTTTATATTTTATAAATACGAAGCAACTGAAAATTTACCTTAACCTTTTGCCTGTCTTAAGGAATTTGTGATGCACAGAACATGTGATTTCCACGTCCGTGCGTCTAATGTGGTGCCCATGAACCATGATTTTAAAAGAGGGTTTAAAACTAAGGACGCTTAAGAAAAGAGTCTACTATTGAATAGGACATCAGGAAAAGCCTAATCTAGTATTTTACAAGAATAATTTTATACTTAACCCTTTGCCTGTCCTGTGATGCACAGGACATGTTATTTCCACATCCGGGCTTCCTATGTGGTTAAAAAGAGCCATAATTTTAAAGGAGTGATAAAACTAAGGACGTTTAAAAAAAGAGTCTGCTATTAAGCAAGACTTCTAAGGAAAGACTTAATCTAATATTTTGTGAATCATATTTGACCACAGGACACTTGACTGCATTCAGATTTATAAGTATTGCATGACAACTCAGCTTATATAGCAACTAGAAAATGCTGATGTATAGTGTTTCACATAATAAAAACATGTGCATCACATTTTTACTCGTTTGTATTATGTGAAACTCTATATATCAGCACATTCTGTTTGCCAGATAAGCTGAGTTGTCATGCAATTGTTATAAATCTGCAAGCAAGCATGAAAGTTTGGAAAATGAACAGGCAAAGGGTTAAGGCAAATGGCCAAAATATATGACAAAAGAAGTCATGAGTTTAAACTAACCCCAGGAAGTTAGAATTTAAATATCAATTGAGATTAAGAAATCACGGTTACGATGGCCTAGTCATATTCTGAAAAGCCTAATTTAATATTTTACAAGAATAATTTTATATTTAACTCTTTGCTTTTTCCTATGGCATATGTGCTGCACAGGACATATGATTTTCACATCCGTGCATCCTGTGTGATGCACAGGACATGTGATTTCCATGTCTGTGCATCCGATGTAGTACACACAAGCCATGATTTTAAAAGAGTGATAAAACTAAGGAAGTTTAAGAAAACAGTTTACTCTTGAGCAGGACATCTGAGGAAAGGGTTAATCTAATATTTCATGCATTATATATAACCACAGGACGCTTGATTGATAATGTAAGGTCTCAAATGAAAGCCATCTATTTTTCCTCTTTATTGAAATGATTATAACCTTTGCATCACACGTGATGCACAGACCGTAGTGTAAAGTTATTTACACACTGCCCCACGCAGCAAGATTTGGCACAAGGCCGAGTTTTAAAGTGGGTTATTCAAGCCCGTAGGCTCGGGCAAAATTTCCCTATAGACCACGTAGAAATGAAGTCAGTTTCCCGAGACGAGAATCTGCCCTTCGGGCATAGCCTCGTCTGGGTAATACCCTCTGATATGTGCCAGGTAAGACCGTAGTGTAAATAATTTGTGATTTATACGTTTTTACTATGTGAAACCCTATATATAAGCACATTC